CCGAGAGAGTGGATTGTGAGATCCCACATTGGTTGGAGAGGGGAACGAAACATTTCTTATAAGGGTGTGGAAACCTCTCCCTAACAAACGCGTTTTAAAACTGTGAGGCTAACGACGATACGTAATGGGTCAAAGTGGACAATATCTGCTCGTGGTGATTTGGACTATTACACTAATGCTGATTATATGTATGTAGAATTATGCCGAACGTGGTGGACCGGAATTCTTCTTCATTGTTAACATACAAGTAAGTCGTTTTAAAGTTTCTTCACAGCCACCATAATTGAGTAGACGGAAGTTTCACCCTTTGCTACCATGAACGTGAATTAGGTTCCTGGCTCGACCATGTATACCTTGGCAATGTACTACATGATGAGGACTCCTCTCGAAAGCAGTCCCTTGCTCAAAAGCTTTGTCGAAGGAGACGACGCCTTCAGGAACTCGAGATTTAAGCTCATACCTTACATTTCTCAGGTCAGTAACATAACTTAGTACCTATGAAGAATCAAGAAGAGTGTTGCCTGACATTCTCCATTGAAAATTACATTGTCAGGGATCATGGATAGTGAAGCAAAGTGTTGGAAAGAAAGCATGCTTGTTGGGGCATGCACTTGAAGTACATTACTTTAGTGGGAAGAACTATTTGGAGGTGAAGTAACGAAACAACATAGATAATGCTCTTTCCCTCTCGCGATGGTATTTTAATTCCTTGTTTCTATGTGAGAAAGCAGGTTGAAATTGACGTTGGATCTTCAACGGTGGCAAGGGGGGTGGTCAGTCTTGTTCTTGGTTATTTGAACAACTTGGTTATAGAAATGGCTTTTGTAATTCAGGTAATACCATATCCCAACTCTTTCAAACTCTCTACACTCTTCTGAAGTGCTGAGCTACAATCTTGTGAAATGTTTTCAATTGCTTCTTGTTTGGCAGGGCAACACTCAAGAGGAGCTCCCCGAAATCCTTCTAGGGACGTGTCGACTCAATCATTTGGATGTGGATAAATCAGTCCCGGTAAAACCTTGAAAACTTCCCTCTCTACTCTGAACGCATGTGAATGAGGATAAAACAGTCTTCGTTGATCTCCGGACTCGAATCTGAATCCTAATTGATCATACCCTTTTCTTCCCCTGCGATCCCAACAACTTTGAGTTGATTTGATTGAGAAAAAAAAGAAGAAATAAAAGGTTGCGCAGAAGAAAAGAGATTTACATTGATATATATATATTTTTTTTATTTACATTGTTTGTATAGAATATCTGATTTTTTGTAAGGAGCTTTTTCTTCCATCAGGCTCCTTTAGTNAAAAAAAAAAAAAAAAAAAAAAAAAAAAAAAAAGTATTTTTAAATTAATTTTCTTGAAATGTCAACCCATCTGAAGTAAATACAGAAAATATGGCAGGTTTTATTTTTATTTAGATATAAAAAATGAAGACACTGAAAAAGTATTAGGCCCAATAACAGTTTTCTTCTGGGCCCAATAGCCCAGTAGGATCAAATCAGCCTGATATGTCCATTGTCAATGGGCCGACAAAGTCAAATAAGGTCGGGCCCAAATTCAACTGTTTTCATTTAATTTTAACGATCGTGATTGAAAATGAAACGCATTATATGATCATGTCGGAGACCAATTTTCATCGAGAGATAAAATTTGTGTACGGAGAACAATTAAAGAGCATTCAATTTTGTGTTTTTTTTTTTTTTTTTTTTTTTTTTAAGGTTGTTAATTTCTCACAATATCGTATCATCCACTTTTTAGCATTTTAATTTGGGTATTGGGTATCAATAAAAATGTTGTCTTTGTTTATATATAATAATATTTTTTTTCTTATTTAGCCAATTTTGAATTTTGATTGCTATACTTATAGACATGTAATTTAATATCCTATATAAAAATAAGATAACAATAAATATTAAAAGGATAAAATTTTAAAATAAACAATAAAAGTGAAATATATATATATATATATATATATATACAAAACTCCCAACCAAATTTGGTCCATGGTTGAACTGAAGCAGCTGACGAAATGGCCCCATGAAATTTACTTCTAAAATCCAAAAAAGAAGAGCCAAAGGGTAATAATAATGATAATATTAATAAATAGAAATATTAAAGGAAATAATAATGGTCATAAAATTGTGGGGTATGATGATTCAACCACAACCGAAAGGTACACTGCCCCTCTCCATCTTTACCTTCCAAATTCATTGTTTCTCAATACAACCAAACCTTTCTCTCCAAAACACCCTTGAATTCTTTTCTCTTTTCTATTTTCTATTTTTTCATCCGTTGTTTTTCACTTTTAAAACGTGTCTATTGAAAAATATTTTCACACCCTTATAATAAATACTTTTTTCCCTCTTCAACTGATATCGGATCTCCCAAACCACCCCACATTTAGCCTGGATACATTGCTTGGTGCCTAACTCTAATATCATTTCTAACAACTCAAACCTACCACTAGCAAATATAGCTTCCAAGGAGGTAGATTGTGAGAGTCTACGTCGGTTAGAGAAGGAAACGAAACATTTCTTATAAGAGTGTGAAGACCTCCGTATAGATGAAGCGTTTTTTGGGAATCACTCTTTTGCAAGGGTAAATTTGTAATTTTAGATTGTTTCAATTATTCTTAGGTTGGTATCCTCCGACCCCATGTTTGTGGCACATGCTTAAGGCACCCACGTGGCACGTGCATAACAAAAAAATAGAAATAAAAGTTAATTTTTTAAAAAAGTGAACAATAGGGGTAGTTTTGGTATTCTGGCTTATGGGCTTTTATGTCCGTAAATAAAAAATATATAATCACATGGGGGCGTCCCCACCATGTGCTAAGGCTTGATCATTAAACGACGGTCACAAAGAAATGGTTATAGTGTCCGGCCACGTGGCATCATCCCATTATCAAATATAATATATTTGTTGAGATCTATTACACATCTTACATTATTTTATGTCATCCAATTTTCAATACAAAGTCAACTAATTAAAATGTCTCGTAATTAAAAATGACGTGGAGGTTTAATTGCTGACTGTGTATAGTGAGGTGGTAAATATATTCTTTTAATATTCTTCTTCTTCTTCTTCACGTCCCACGTCCCACGTCCCGTCACGTTTATCGCTGTCGACCATCATCGCTTTGAAGGGATCGACTGTCATTGTTACCATCGAAGAAAATAGACCGGTGAATATGCATAAAACTGTTCATATAACCCAATAACTCGACAATTTAGCCGACCCAATACAACCTATAAAATTTGAATTGGGTTAAAAAAAATTTCAAATTTAAAATTCGAGTTGGTTCGAGGTTGATATTTTTTGTCGGGTCAAAAGAAGAAAAATATATTGACTTTATAATAAGAAATAAATATTCTACACAATACGTATACGGAACTGCGTACAGATACCAAAAATAAATATTCGAAATAAATTAAAACGCGTTTTTTGGTAAATAAAAATTCACAGGGATCCGGTGTGGGCGGCCCCACGATACTCCCGTCATCAGATCATGTTTTTTGTCCCTTTGATTTTAATTTTTATTTATTTATTTATTTATTTGAAAGAACTCGGGGGAAGATGAGGACCACGAGGCAATGTCACGTGACTCCGGGCCCCACTCCGGTGCCTTTCTTTCTTTTTTTTTTTAAACTATTTTTAAAAAATTTTGTAATTAAATTATAAATTTAATACTTAAAACATTTGTATGTAATATTCCGACTATAATTTCAATAAAATTATAAATATAATTTATTTTTAATTGAGAGCACGTTGGACACTTGTTTACAGTCGGCTTCTGTGTTGTGTTATGGTGACACAGCTGGAGTCTAGTGACTGATTCTCTGTGGTGGGATCCACCGTAAGCTCATCCATTTTCTTCCTTCTTTTTTTTTAAAAAATATTTTTTATTCTTTTGATCACCGCGTATCCCGTCGGTGGAACGTGCCAATGGGCCCCACAACGACACGCACCATGCACGTGATACCCTCCACCGCCGCCCGTTACGCCGTGTTTCCTTTTTCTCTCTCCTCTTTATTGCTTTTTTTCGTCTCTCTTTTACCTTTCTGCCCACCCAAATTAAACGCAAAAGCAAAAGTACGGTGGGGTCAATTTCGTCCTTTCGCAATCTCCTCCTCCCTCACCGCTGGACCGTCACATGAAATTGATGAAATTCCATTAATCTTTTTATTTAAAATATTCATACGCGTATTCTTACTTTATAATTAAAAGAAAATGAGTTGGAAATTGTAACTTTAATCATTAAAATTTTATAAAGTAGATCCTAAATATATGTAATTTTATTAATTATATTTAATTAATTTAATGAAAGAATAAAAGAAAACATTGACCAGTTAAGATTCTGTTGACGTAGAAGGAATAGGATGTTTCTTTGTCCCATAAAGTTAAAATAAAAAGTCAGTAAAAACCCATTCACCACCCCAAACTGCCCTTAAAATATAGGGTGTTACCCAATCCCAACTCAAATTTTACCTTTTACCATTTACCAAGGACGTAACTTTCAAAAAGAAACCCATTCAACCCATTCATATTCAATGAGTACACTGCAAGTTAATTTTCTCTCTCTTTATTAGAGAGAGAAAATGGCTTTAACAAGGCATAGATTCAAAGAGTATAACTGAAGTTAGTTTAGAACCAGACATGTTTCAGCTCTGCTGTCTCTTTATTAATTATTTTCAATATAAGTTTAATTGTGTTTTAACCGTTTTAGGGAAGCTCACCCACCGACAATGCAACCGCCGACGATAATGGGTCTTTGTCCATCTGTTGGGTGAAGTTGTAAATTTTAAGAAACCGGAGGGTAATTCTGTCATTGTGTAATTATATTTTTTGTAATGTATTTACATTATTAAATATGAAAACAACGTGAAAATATCATATTAAGTTATTTAAATAAAATAAAATAAAATGATAATTATGATTTTTTTTTAAAAGGGTTGAAAATTGAGATATAAAATAGAGAAAAGAAAAACAGTAAAGGGACAGCTAGCAGCAACAACTCCCATTCCCAAATCTCTTTTTAGCCTTTTCTTCTCTCCTCTTTCTTCAACCTCAATTCTGCACTTTCTCTCTCTTCTTCAGCTCTGCTTTAATGGAGCTTACAGCAACCAACTCGTAACTCCATTTTTTTTCCTTCCATTCTTCAGAGTGTTCTTCGTTTTCCATTTCTGCGTTTTCTGTTCTATAATCGGAGAAACCTTTTCCGACGACATGGACTGTGGCAATTTCTTCGACCAAATCGACGACCTTCTTGATTTTCCTACGGAGGATTTCGACGACGACGACGGCGCGTTAACCACAAACGCCGCCTCTTTCCCTCCCATTTGGTCTTCTGCCTCCTTGCCTCACGCTGCCGATTCGGTGTTTTCCGGCAATACTCCTCACTCTGCCCTCTCTGTTCCGGTCAGTAATGCTGGATTTTTACTTTAATTTTAGATTTTTTAAAAAAGGTAATAATTTATTTTGAAATATTTTCTATTAAAATATAGTCTTAGAACTATTAATCACAAATTTTATTAATTTATCTAAAATTTATATATATCACAAATTTGTATGAATAATGACGTCATAATTAAAAGTAAAATTGATGGGTTTTGATTTCGTACATGGGAGTACACAGTAAGATATGATGGTTCTGTTCTGATGAGTTTTGTTCTGTTGTGCAGTACGAAGACATTGATCAATTGGAATGGCTTTCAAATTTCATTGACGATTCCTCCTCCGGCGCTGAAACCCTAACGATCAACACTTCTTCTTTGTCGCCGGCGAACCAATTTCAGATCTCAAGTCCAGTCTCCGTTCTCGACAGCAGTAGCAGTAGCAGCAGCTCGTGCTCGGGCGAAAAGAAAACTCTAGCTGTTGCTGGTAAACGCGGTCGCGCTCGCAGCAAGCGATCTCGGCCACCGTCCTTTATTCCTCGGCCGCCGCAGCTTATTTCACCGACGAATTCCGGCGGTAAGGTTTCATCGGACTCAGAGAACTACGGTGAGTCCTGTTCTGCTCCGCCGCTGCCGGTTAAGAAGACGAAGAAGATTAAGTTGTCGTTTCGACGAGATCAAAACGATGCGTTTAGTCCACAAGGTGTGAGGAAATGTTTGCACTGTGAAGTGACGAAGACGCCGCAATGGCGAGCTGGACCATTAGGGCCTAAAACTCTCTGTAATGCTTGCGGCGTTCGTTACAAATCCGGCCGCCTCTTCCCCGAGTACCGGCCGGCGGCGAGTCCGACTTTTGTTCCGTGTTTGCACTCCAATTCGCACAGGAAGGTTCTCGAAATGAGAACCAAACAAGAGGAAATCGCCGTGGAGACGGAGTTGCCGACAGAGCTCATCCCGAATACAAACAGCGGCATCGTCCTCGGATACGTATGATCGGAAAATCTCCATCGCCGCCGTGCCGCCGCCGCCCTCTCTGTTCCTTTATTGTTCTCTGAATTTCTTTTTTCTTTATTGGTTATTATACAAAAATGTGAAAAATAGTTTAGTAAGGTTATAGAGAGATACATGAAAGGTGAAGAGGACTAGGGTTTTTTAGTTTGTATTATTTGCTATTAGGTCCTTTAACTTACTAGATATTGCTTTTTGGGGGCTTCCTATTTTTTTTGTTTCATTTAATGTTTATTTATCCACCATTCTTTTTGCACCTCAAGGTCAAATCAAAATTTACATAATTTTCAAACAAACTTTAATTTTATTTGTCACGCCATGTTATAACGTCGTAAAAGATTCCTTCCTCGTGTACTGACCTAAACCCGATTGGCGACTCACTAACAAGCACCTCCAATGGCACGAGGACAAATGTACAAACTATTGACGAGCAACAATCTCAAGCCCCCGAACACAACACACCACCCCTCAAGTGACCTATAATTTTCTAACGCAAACTCAAAATTTGAGCGACTTACGAATCTACCAAATAATATTTGAGAGTGATCGCTTATAAATAAAAGCAATTTTTAATTTTATTTTAATTTATTGATCAAAAGATTATTCTCAGCTCATTTTATCATTAAATATATAAAATTAGTCATAAGCATAATTTATTTGATAAAAAAAAATAATTGTAATGGAATAATGTTAATAGTTAATACACCTTGTTTAGAAGCAGTCTAATAAAATAGGATAATGTGGGCCTGAATCCAAAGGTAATAATGGGCCTTAAATAGCCCAATATTGTTACTGAGGCCCATATTGATATTAGGAGGGTTCATTTTAATCGATAATTTTTAACAGCTTAATAAAAATATAAATTAAAATATTTTGATGACTTAATTTAAAAATTTTAGAATTTTAATTAATAAAATTATGAGTTATGTTTTTTTTATTAGTTTAAGTTTAATAAATAAAGGAGAAAAAAAAAAACAAAGTTCAGCTCTAAATTTTTATTAATTTATCTTAATTTTGAACTTTAAATAAATTTTTATTTAAAATGTCGTTAATAATGTATTCTTATATGCATTTAATGGCGTATAAAATATATATATATATATGTGATAAAAACAATTGATTAGAAAATATTAAAAAAAAATACATAAAGAAAATATATTGGGCCTAAAAGATAGCCCAAAACTATCACTCGGGCCCACATGTAATGGGCCTAAAATATACAAATTCCAAAGAACAAAACAATTAACGGCAAATAATAAAAAAAAAATTAAGTTAATTGAAAGATATTAAAATATTTGATTTAACATAATAATTAATAGTAATAATAATAATAATAAATGTGGGGCGTTGACTAAAATAGAACTGCGTGCAATGCCGCGGCCGGCGGGGCGGCGATGGAACAGCCACCGGAGACGCGTCCACACGTGTGAGCAATCAATGTTTGGAAGCAATCACCGATGGCTTATTTTTCCCACTTGCCCCTTTATTTATTTATTTATTTATTTATTTATTTATTTGTTGTCTGTTTATAATATTTTATGGAAAGACCCATTTGAGATCATCCACTTATTTTAATATTTTATTCGAAATATGATTATTATTATTATTATTATTTTAATTTGATTCGTCTTTATTGTATTGCATATGTTTCAAGGCAACTCATTTATTTGTCTTCAACTATATTATTATTATTTTTTATTTAAATCTGCATTTGGTTGTTGTTGGTATTGAAAAAACCAAAGCTTTTCACACTTAATTTTTTAAAAAATCAATATTTTATTTTATTTTTAGAATTTAGCTAAGAAATCCAAATAGTTTTTTTACCATGACCAGAAAACAAATACAATTTAGTATAATTTTAAAAAATAAAAAATATGATGAAATTTAAATTTATTTTAAAAAATAGTTAGAGGAGAATCAAAAAGGAAAAAAATTAATTTTGTATAATTTAATATTTTTTGTGAATTTTTTTATTAAATTTAAATGTCGATTTTTATAATTTAATAAGAAATAAAAGTATTTAGTTTATTGATGAATGTATATAATAATAATTGAATTTATAAATTAAATGGTTACAAAAATTAAAAAATAAATAAAAAAGGAGAAAAAGAAAAACAGGTAAAAGACAGAGATACGGAGAAAGGGCCCAGAAAGGAGAAGCCATCTGGACGTCACATCAGCAGTAGGCTGTCCTGAGGGTGACGGACGGGTGGTGGGCCCTACCTGTAAGAGTTATATCACAGCCCGCCACGTTGATCGAAGAATCCAAAAGCCATGCGCGGGTGAGGAATACCCATATCACACACTTTGTCCCCTAGCTGTAACGCTACCCTTCCCTTCTTTCCTTTTTTTCTCTTTCATTTCCACCCCTTTTCTTTACCATAATTTCATTTTTACCCCCAAACTTCTTTTTCTTTTTACTTTCTTCCCACTCTTTTTTCCTTTTTCCCACTTCCAACCTAACTTCTTGTTTTTTTATTAAATATATATATACACACTTTTCACGTCGCTTTCAAGTTCAATATATAGATTTTTATTTTTTTTTTATAAATATACAAATATCTTCTTAAATAAATAACAAAATTATTTATTTATTTATTAAAAAATTGTCATTAATTATTTCCAATAATCCCTCGTCTTTTCCCTTAATTACGTTGCCTAATTAGCTAATCTCACCCTAATTTCGCTTCTTTATGCTCTCTCAATTAAATGGTAAATTAAATTACCCAACTTTAATTTAATCACTTTTCCCTAATTTAATGAATTCAAAATATATACTCATAATTAAAATATTTATTTATTTTTAATATTAAATTATAAAATGAAACTATTTATAAGAATTTTATGCAAGATTCCATTAAACAATTAAATAAAAATTAAAAAATTTAGAATTATATCATCTAAATTCTATTTTTTTTTAATCAAAATTTTAATTTAGTAGGTAAAAAATGTAGCATCAAGGTCACGTCAAGTGAGGTAAAAAGACAAAACAAGGGTAAATATTAAAACGAAGAAAAATATTAAAAAAAGGGTAAAAAATTAAAGTGAAATTGGACAAACCAACTGTTTGGTTGTCTTGTCAATGTTTTGAATGATGTCAAAGTTTTTCTATATATATATATATATATTTCTTATTTCTTATTTCTTATAATTAGAATTAAAAAATTCATGGATTAAAATAAAATTTTTGAAAAATCCCCAAATAAATATATGTCTTTAAAATTTATTATTTTCCACACTTCAAACCTTAAAATTGTAACTCGAGCTTATAAAACACGATCATTCAATATATTTTTCGACCAGTTGATTAAATCTTAAAACAAACCCAAAAACGAGATTAATGTGTTAGTAATTACGAATCTCCACAATGGTGTGATATTGTTCACTTTGAGCATAAGCTCTCGTGCCTTTGCTCTGTACTTTCCAAAATGCCTCATCCCAATCAAGATAGTATTCCGCACATGATCTTCCACTAAATTAATCAATGTGGAATTTAGTCCCAATAATCTTCAACATTATGTTCGAACGTATCTCATTATAGAGTAATTTCGAGTAAGTGAAAAGGCTTTGAAGAAGTTGACTCGAAACAAGTATCGACCAGCCGCTCAAAACATTAAAATTTGAAGACAATTAAATTTGTCTGTAAAATAAGTTGAGATATATCCGGTCCCAAAGAGACAGCAAAGCAGTTACAAAGTCAAAGTCATGGGTTAATTAAAATCCGCTGATCCAAAAACACAGGAGAGGTAAGTGAGATGAAATGACGAAAATAGCCTCGAAGTAAAGAACTGACCAGATCTTTAGCGAGACCTAAAAATGGGGAAGACAAATTAAATAACAAAAATTAAGTTGGAAAAGTCATTGGTGTTGACCGACAACTTGGAGAGCCGGGATTCGGTTAAGACTTAACCATGGTTAACTCCGGAGAGTTAGGAATTATGACAACCAAACCTAGACCATGGTTCCCTTTTTACCGCCCCAACCTCCCTTGATTTCAGTGTTTACATCTTAATTAAACCCCAATTATTTTGACTGTATCCCCCATAAAACAAACAAAATTAAAGACATTAATGTTCCATAAAAAGAAAATTAATTTCAATTTCCAAATAATTTTTTATTTATTTATATTTAATAAGGTAATAATTCTCGTAATTTGTTATCCCGAGCTATTGTACTAAGAAAAACAAATTCGTTATCGTAAGTTAATATCAACATATTATTTTCATATGATTGACTTTTGTTTGCATGAATGAGCGTGCAAAATATTGACTTGTTTATTTAAAATAAACTTAACATATTTTTAAATTTTCAATTTTATTCTAAACGAGCAAAAACATAGATATATATTTCAAATTTAAAGTCGTAATAATAATAATAATAATAAATATTTTATACAAAAAAAAAGTAACTTTTAATCATTAAAAAATCGAAATAAACTCAAAATAACATCATATAATCAATCAACCCATCGTTAATATGTTACCAAATTAGGATATTTTGAAATAATTACTTTTATTGTTGGAAATTAATAAGATATATTGTGAAGCCACGCGCCAGGAAGGAGAGTGGGACAATAAAAGCGGGAAAAGGGAAAATAAAAATTGGAGTAAATCGATGTTAAATATAATATTAATTATTGAAAAATAAAAAATAGAGATAACAAACATGAAGGAAGGAGGAAGAGGACACCCGAATGAATGGCTGAATTTGTGGTCTTCTTGGGATGTGTTCGTTACACTCTCTAAGATCTAAAAAAATAAAAATAAAAATAATAATTATTATTTGATTATATTAATAATAGTTTACTATAAATATGTCCTTAACTTAAGGAGTCATCAATAAAATTTTAAATTATTTAATAATTAAAAAAAATAACCAAATTTTAATTTTTCTTACAATTTGAACTATTATTACCTTTCAATTATTAAAAAAATAAAAAAAAGGATAATTTATTTTATTTTAAAAATATATATATATATATTTTTTTTTGTTTTTTTTTTTTTTACGTATGTTACTGACTTTGTTTCGAAAAATATTGCCCAAATTTCGTTCTAAAAACAATGCGAAAGAAAAGGGAAAAAGTTACTTTTGGTGACGTAATAGGGTTAAAAACGAGCATTCAAATTACAGTGGCAGTAATTTTTAGGAACAAAAAGTACTAAAGTAAAATATTTTAGTTTGAGTGATATTTTGTCAATGTTGAAAAAATATAAAAAAGTAATGGTAATTTTTTTTTTTTTTTTTTTTTTTTTTTTT